ACCTGAGGTGGGATGAGGGGACAGAGTGATAGCACCTACATGGTTGTGTGGACTGCCGTGTACACTGTGGCAAGGACTTCTCTTATGAAAGAGAAACACCTGACACCGCCCTGCCAGCCGCTTGTGATTCCTGTCTCCATCCTTCTGAGTAGAATGGTGCCAAGCGTGGCCTGTGATGGCCTTGTGAGTTGGAATGTTTGGGTGATCCAGGAGTAGATGCCCTAGTGAGCACTGGACTTGCCCAAAGCCACACTTCTGGGAAGCAGCAGGACCAGAAGTCAAATACAGTGGTCTGCCTTCAAAGGACTTGCTTTCTCTTTCATTACAGGGTCCCAAATCTCTTCTCCTAAGATAACCATACTCTGGCCCTGAGGCTGGTGCAGCTTCTCAAACATTTGCTGGGCTTTCTTCTTTACTCTAGTTCCCTGTGAGGCCCCCAAGTTTGGTACCTCCTAATTCATCCTACCTGCCCAGCCTCAACACCTGGTCTAACTGTTCACTGAGTTCCATTTCCAAATAATCACCCAGAGATCTCTTCAAATACAATGATGCCCTTCTGGTTCACACTGATAAGCTGACTTTCTAAGCCCTCAGACAATTACGACTACTTCACAGTTGCTTCCCAATCAGAGATGATTCTCACCCACTGAGAACCAACAACCCCCTAAGCTCTCCCTGGCCAGGGAACAGTGCCAGGAATGACAGCAGTCTCCTGATGACCAAGGGAAGGCCCTACCCCATCGCTGAAATGCAGAAGTCTACCCTCCACAGCCCTCCACTGAACAAGAGTTTAATAATACACTGAACCTAGCAGTTGTCCTCTCAGATTAACACCCAGGCCAGAAGAGCAGGATGAATCATTCGTTCCCAAGCTTTCCTTCCCTTTCTTTAATCAAAATCTGGAGATGGAAATCAATGCAAACGATATCACTGCTCTGAAGTCATCCCTAAAGGCCTGCCCAACAAAGTTCATTTGTTCCCTCACAATGTTAAGCACATCTTTGTTACAGAATATGTGCGCATTGCCCCTTCTCTGAGGCCACGAGCCTCTGGAAAGCAGAGTTTCTGTCTTGGTCCTCTCTAAGTCCCTACAACCTGTACAATGCCGGACATATAGCAGGGGCTCTGTAAATGATGACAAAATGAATAAATGAAAGAAACCCAATGAATCAGGCGTGCCCCAACCATATTCTTTCCTGTATGACTTGGACCACTGAATTAATTCCCTATAGGCTAAACTGTAATTTTACGTCAGATTCCTGGTTAATAGCAAGATGTGAACAACATCTTCACGGTTACATCTGCCAATCACTAACTCAGATAAGTAACTTGCTTTGCCAACCACAAAACGACAAGTTTATGGAGATTCTAAATCAATGGTCCCAATGTTACTCAGGCAGGACACAGTGCTGATGGCTGTAAAATTCTGTCTCCAGCCAAATCTGGCTCTTCTCTTCTGCCCATGACAGGCAGGATGATCAAAGAGGAAGAAAGTGACACAGAGAAGGAAGATCAGCAGAGGGAATACGCCAGAAAGTACTGGTGGAGTTCGCATTAGACAAGGTCAAATGACCAGTGAAAATTGAGAAATTCATTCACACATCACAGCAGTTTAGTGGCAGAGAACCTCAGAGTCATTTTACAAAAGGGGAAATTGAGGCCTAGGGAAGTTAAGTGTCTTCACTGAGGTCATGCTAGTCAGTAGCAAGCTTGATCTCAAATCCAAGTACTTTTTTTAGGACACCAAGACCACTGGTTGTAACTCACAGCAAAGCGTCAATTTAAAGTCCAGATTTTATCAAATGGTGTTGTTATTTCAGCTTCTTAAAACAATTTGCCTCATTTCAAAAAAAGAGTACTTTTTGCCAAGGAGAGTGATAATACACAGTGATAGCAACTGTGTAGGGAAACTGGCTCTCTCATATATTATTGAAGGGAATATGAATAGATATAACCTTGTGGGATCAAAGTTTGGCAATATTTAAGCAACTGTAAAATGTATGTACATGCTGATGTAGTCATTTCCTTGAAATGGTTGTATATACACAAAGCGAGATACAAGGATGGTAATCTCAGCACTATTTATAATATCAAAAAATTAGAAGCAATCTAAAAGAAATTGGTTAAATATATTACGGTAAATCCATACAATGGACTACTATGCAACTATTATGAAGAGAGTCTATGGTTTATTGATTTTGTTTCGAAGATTTTAAAGTCATATACGTATCTGTGAGGTATATGAATGTTTATATGTATATCAATATTCTATATATGTTCCCAAATGTATATATTTTAAAAGAGAGAGAGAGTGTGCATACATCCCGACTTCCCTCACTTACTACCTGCGTAGCTTTAGGCAAGATATTTACATTCTCTGTGCTTCCGTTGGAGCTCTGGTGGATACTGGTTAAGAGCTTGGCTGCTAACCAAAAGGCCGGCAGTTTGAATCTACCAGCTGCTCCTTGGAAACCCTATGGGGCAGTTCTACTCTGTTCTACCGGGTTGCTATGAGTCGGAACTGACTTGACAGCAACAGGTTTGGTTTGGCCCTTCCGTTCTTTACTATAAAATGGATAATAATAGTACCCACCTCAAAGAGCTCCTGTGAGAATCAAACACGTTATCAACTCGACAGCAATGGGTTTTTCTTATATACAAGGCACTTAGAATAGTATCTGGCACATGGTAAACAAAAATATTTATCTATCAACAAGTGATAGTACATGCATGAAAAAAATGTAGAAGAATATAAACTAAGTGGTAAACAGTAGCTATTTCTAGGAGGTGGGATTATGTAGGCTTCTTTTTCTTTGATGAATTTCTGTGTTGTTTGAATATTTTACATTAATTTTTGTAATGAAAATAAAGATGCACTTCCTATAAAACGAAGAAAACTATATATATCTTCTATATGCATAGAAATCAGTCTACGAATCCCAAATGTTTCAAATTAATATGATGGAACAAACACTTTAGCAATGTATGGATTTCTGGCAGTGTTAACACATTCAGAGGATGTAACTGAGGGGACAGGAGAAAGAGAAAAGAGATAATGTCACACATGTTTAAAAAGATAGCTATTTCCTCTCCCCTGAAAATCTGTGATTCTGCCCTGGAGCCCTAGAGCCAGCCGGAGTCAACAGCCCTGCAGTTGGAGTCAATGATCCCTGTGTCCTGACCAGGGCACCCAAGGCTGTCCCTCAATACAGCCTTTTTGCAACCCAACCTGTTCACACATGCTGCATCCAGGCAATGCTGTGCCTGATTGCTGTTTGCAGAAGTGAGAGCATGAAACCAATGGCGGATGTGACCATGAGACCATCTGACCATGAGAGCAATAATGATACAACAAACAGCTAGCAGGTTCTTCTAATGTCTAAGGTTCTGCTGACTACTCCCTTCAAACCTCACAGGCAAAATCAGAGATGAGAGTCTTTGGGAAAACTAATAGGCTATGTTGCTATACAGGAATAGTTTTGATTTTTATATATCAACCGGAGGTCCTGGATGGTGCAAATGGTTCACATGCTTGGCTGCTAACCACAAGGCTGGAGGTTTGAGACCACCCAGAGGCAGCGCAGAAGAAAGGCCTGGTGATCTACTTCTGAAAAAAAAAAAATCAGCCATTGAAAACCCTATGGAGTGCAGTTCTACTCTGATACACATGGGATTGACTCCACGGTAACTGGTTATCTATCACCTCAACTCTGTACTTGGCCACCTTATGGAGCCATCTCATGAATTTTGTGAGTGCCTAGGTTTTTTCTAGTTATGAAATGTTAGCTATTATTTTTCTTGTTTCATATCTCACATGATTGTTTAGTATAACAAGAACTAAGTTCAGTAATGAGAGCAAGAGAGGACGCACTTATTTGGCCCCGATTTTAAGAGGAATCTTTTAGTATTTCCCCACAAAGTATAAAGTGCTCTCTCTGTGGGTTTTGAAATATTCCCTGATATTATTTCCTTTTATTTCTGTTAATACTTTTAAAAGATTGGCACTATACGTTGAAATATTTTTGTCATTTATTGACAGAAAAATGAACTTCTCGTTTAACCTACTGGGGTGATTAGATCAATTCCTGTAAGTGGAATTCTTGGGTCAACAGGTTACATAAAAAACAGTCATCACTTGGCTCATCTGAAAGTGAAATGCCAGAACACAACCTCATCCAGGCCTGATTCACTCACAGGAGAGCTATGATAAACAAGGATAGGTAATGAGATTATTCCATGGACCACCTCATCTGGAAGACTCTGCATACTTCAACTACAGCACAAATCATACTGAACTGCAACGTATCTGTTCTTAAGTGTGTCTCACCCCAACACAGAAGTTCCCAAAGTCCAGGACTATATCTTAGACATCCAAGTATCTGTTGTGTCTTACACTTTGCCTGGTGCTTGAGTTATTTCTGTTCCCTTCTCCACATACTGTATTTTGCAAATCCAGGTTACCCCATGAGCTGGCTACCTTGTAAGCTGCAATAAGGAAATCAGTGTTGTCTACTCCTTATATGTAGCCACACGTACCCAAGATCTACATTTAACCAAACCACATTCCTGACTTTTTCTAACGGTGAAAATCCCTTGTTCCTGATTCCCCTCACATCCTTCTGATGGGTAAAAAGCTTACCAACCCACAACATGCATGTCCAAGCCTACATATCTGGAAAGCCACCTACTGAACAGTGCATGTTCTAAAAAACTTTATTTTCAAATTGCCAATGTTATACTGTTTCTGTTTGTAGTCCAGGTGTCTTCTGGTCTCCATACCCAAACAGATACAGCTATTCCTGCTGACAGCTAGGAATATGACCGTATTTCCCCTGCTTCATTAATGTGTCTGCTAACAAAGTTCCCACCAGCCAAGTATGTCTGTGTGATCCATTCTCATTAATCTGTTTGCACCCCACTCCCAACACCAAACTCACCCAAGGGAATAAGATCTGCTATAAAGGAAGAGGCCAAAAAGGACCCTCAAGAAAGTCACTCACCTTTCTCGTGGTTGCTTGGCGGTGGGGGTGGGGAGATGACTGGTTTGGACTTGTCATAGTTGTTAAAGCTCTGGCTGCGTCGGTTGTTAGCAGTGGCTGCTCCGCCGCGTGTTTTGGCCTCACTGCCTGCAGCGGATACCCTCGTGGGAGGCCCTGGAAGTCTAAAATGCAAAACCAACAGGGTAATGGATTCAGTCTTGGGAGAAGAGCAGTGTTTCAGAAGAAGGAACTGCAACCATGGAAGAGGTAAAAGAAAGCATCTAAGGCAGTGGGTCTGAGAAGGTTTGCCAGTTAAAGGCTTTGGTGGAACCACTACGAACATCTAGGCTAGTAATAACGCCAACAAAGTCCAACAGCAAAACATCAACAATTTTCCTTTAAGCAAAGAGAGACATTTTGAAGGAAAATATATGAATATGTTTACTGATTAGAAATACAAAGATCATCTTATTTTTCCTCTGAGATGGGTATTTTTCAATACAGCCAAATCCTGTCATCTCTAATTCTAACAACTGTGTGACATAAAGGTCTGAGAAATCTCTAAACTCTTCACCTTGTGTGTGCATCTCTCTGGTAGGTACCGAAAATGCTGTCTGCCATAATGTAGGGATGTAGGTATCAAAAAAAGGACATAAGTTATAATGGTCATAAAGGGACTTACTACTACTCAGAACCCCACACATCTGAACGAAAACTCATGGCCTAGTTGGAAATACTTGTCCAGACATATTTCAACACCTGACAATCTGTCTCCACAGGCATTGCTTTGAGGCTGCATCCTAGTTTCTCTGCACAGTAGATGTATAAAATCATACATTCTTTCGTAAAACTAGCAGAAATCTGTTAGCCTAAAGACAAACACATACTTTCCCTTTAAATAAAACACCTCATTTTGGGTGGTTTGGGAAATAAAGTCATCAGATTTCTCTATAACGTGTCTAAAGATATTATGGCCCATTCCCCAAAGAGTTAAGGGTAAGACTCCACAAATTAGAATTTTGGTCGAGGGATTTACTAAAGCAGACTGTTTCCAATAATTAAGGTTGAAAGATGAATAAATGATGAAATATTTAGTTATTTCTTTCACCTAAAAACCCACTTAGCTGTGTTCAAAAGCCAACAGACCTCAGCAGACTATCATTAGATACGTGATAAGTCTGAATTTTCAACTCATAAAGCTTTCAGCCTTCTCTTTCCATGCAAATCTGTAAGCACCAAAAAAGTCTGAAGTCTGGAAGCATTTTAGATATAAGCAGGCAATCGCTTTAAACTTTCTCTTGTTGGCTGAGCAAGAAAGATGGTTGTAGAATAAACAGAGAACATGAGATGGTGTCAGAGGACTGTAAAATTTATACAGTTAAGAAGAAGCTGGACCAGTTCCCTGACTGGAAGCTAGGAGAAAGGAAGGGGGTTAGTTCTTCCCTCCAACATATGGCAGTGAAAGCTATAAGACATCGATTCCCACCCTACTAGGAGAATTTGCCCTGCTGTTAATTTATCACATCTTGATTGGAGAGGATATTCACCCCAAAAAGACAGGCACACAGTGGGGTGCAAAACCAGCAGGCCACCACCTGTGTTTGGGGACCAGATGTTGCCGGCACACAACTGGTCAAGGAGGTCCAGCAATGAGACCTTGGTAAATGTTGGTTCTGCTTCCAATGCAAATACGGTCCTGCAAGCTCTCTAAGTCAGTGTTATCCAAGTACTTACATCCAACAGTGGAGCTTCTGCAGATGCTGACTTGGGGGTCCTTTGAGCTGGACTTATTTAACCCAGTTGTAACCTGCAGGAGTTTTTATGCCCACAGATAGACCTGGAAAAGGATTATGGACTTGTTCCAAGATGGTGTCATAGCAATGGTATTAAGTAGTGCAGGGTAACACAGGTCACAGCATTCTACTTTAGTGGGGGGATTTGCAAAGAGCAGGGAAGAAGGAAAAAAAAAAAAAAAAACAGGAAAGAGAAAATGTATTCCTTCCAGAGGTGCTAGAGAGTTCCTACTGCCCTGACCCTGAGATGGACCACAGAAGATTTTCAGGAGTACAAATGCCTTTACAGAGGTAAGCAATCTAAGTATAGGATAGGCTGGGCACAGCAGAATCAGATAGGAAGTCTGGTCCTCTGTAAGGCAGTGTGGTGTAATGGGTAGAATATAGACTGTAACATTGGACCAGCCTCATAATCTCTTGAACATTCATGTTCTTTACCTGTAACTTTGGAATAAAAGTAAAGAACCCCAAGGGAGAATTGTAAATTTGAAATGAATTGGACATTGTCATAAATGAAACATGCTATGGTACACAATAGAAGCAGACAAAAAAAGAAAGGAATAAATGAATTTAGGTTAAGGTATCAGAAGAGAGTTAGACACAAATCAACACACAAGAGTCTGAGATCAACAGTTTCAAAGAGGCCAAGGCAGGCTTCAGTAGGCAGGGCTGGTTGCCTAACCAAAAAACATTCCAGAAGAGAAACTACTTCATCCAAGTGTCTGTGACTGACTGAGACCTTTTATTTGCAGTGGCTATGAACCATCTCTGGGTCCACTCCCTGGAGTACGATATTCCTGGTCTTGGATTTACTAAGATAGTCCTGGGTTTCCTATGAGAGGTCATTATCAAAGTCTCTTTATTATTGAACTCACTTAAAGGGAGCAGAACATCCTTCAAACGGCTGCAGGGGTGTGCCAAGTTTTCGGGGACATTGGAGAAGGGGTTCTTGAAGCCTTAAGGGTGGCTGATGGTGAATGGGGGGTAAGGGAGTGAACAGTACATATTTAGCCATCAAAAGCCACCACAAAGCTGAGGCCAGCTCTCATCACCTCCATCCCCACCACTAGTACACCTGGTCAGGACAGCTCCCTCTACTTGACCAAATTGGGAAGCTGGATGGAAACCAAGTAATTTCTTCCAAGTTTCAGAGAGAATCTATGTTGACTCTAAGGCTTAAAATTTGGGTTCTGTTATGAATGGGCTTGGGCTGTTGTCACTTGCTCCAAAATAAGCCCCTCTATCTCTCTGGAATCTCCAGCAAAGTCTGAAAAATCAATGTGTGAATGGATGAATGTGTGGTGGGTGAGAAGTAGGGAAAAAGGCAAAGTCTGGATCCACCCAAAAAGAACCAAAACATCCCTTGGGATGGTGAGTCAAAATCTATAAAGTGAATTGATTTGGATTTCAGAATTAATGCAGAATTTCAAAGACAAAGGAAACCATGAGAACCTAAGATACCTGAGATATCATGGGGAGGGCACTGAACTTTCTAAAAATTGAAGAAGAGGGTCTAGCTCAATCTTAGATCTAAATCTTAAGGGCTGGTTGACCCCAGCTGACATCTAGGTTACATGCGTGTTGATAAAAGAATATGTGAAGTTCAAAAGTGATTCAGAGAAGGGAAATTATCTCAGATGCTGGTGGGATGGGCAGGGAAGGTTCCAAATAAAAGGGACCCCAGGGCCAGATTTGGCATGTTGAATGGGAATGTATGTAGAGGACAAGAAGGTAGTGGCAGAGCATGCATGTAGAGGGAAACCCTGTTAAAAAATACTGAGGAGTGACAGTATGGTGTGTGCTGGGACTTGGAGTAGCAAGAGGGGACAAAATGGGAGAAAATGAGGCTGTAGAAGCAAGCAGCACAGAGTAGGGAGGACATTGTATGTCATACTACCAGTCTTGGACTTTGTCCTGCCCTCTAGCAATGAGGCATTAATTAGGGAAGCTGAGAGCAGAGCTGAATATGAAAAGCAGAGAATAATCTAGTCTACCAGTGACACAGACCCTAGGCCTCTGGCTAACATTTTGAAGTTCATTATTGTTAACATCCCTGTGTATCATGGGAATTCCTATCAACCCCCAGCCCAGAAGCATCTGCTGTCTTTAGCATTAGAATTGCTGTCTGCTGAAGAGCTGGGTCTTGCTCCTATGGAACAGCTGCAGGTACAACAGATGCTGCCCACTGTGTCTGCCTCAACGAAGAAACACAGCAAGAGCAAGGCACGGAAAGTCAACCCTGCATCGTTTATAGTGCCGGAAAGTTCCAATGGCTCCTTTCCAAGAGGAACTTAACCTCTCATGATCATTCCAAATCCAAACACAGCTACAAAATGACAGAGGACACAGATGGGTTCTTTGAAACATACACATGTTGCTTTTTTTTAAAAAATTAAGTTTAAGGGAAGTGGTGTGACAAAGAGGCGGAAAGAAAAATCCTGCTGTTAAGTCATGGTCGAGCGCAGAGGCACTTAGGCACGGCAGTAAAACCATCCCTCCTAGCACATAACCTGCAATTGCTCACCAGCTCTTCTGCTCCACGTGCTGCACGTGCTGGTGAGGGGAAAGGAGTGCTTTCCCCCAAAGCCACTTCAAAGGCTGCGAGCAGAGGACGACCCATCCCAGGAAGGAAGGCAGCTTGTGTGCACATGCTCAGGGACTTGGGGGGTAGGAGGGGAGGGGGGCAGCGGGGAAGGGTCCTAATTGGAGATGATGAAATGCTAAATTTCTCATTTCTATGACATCTGCTTTTCAGCAGCTAGGCAGAGAGCACTGAACTACTAGCTCCAATGATTCCTTTCCCCAAGATGGTCTTGCAGAGATCAATTCTGTGGGACTTGCTAGAGGTGATCTGGTTGCCCTACCACCAACATTTCCGTATCTCCTATTTATGGTACACAGATTATTGCTGGATACTGTGCTAAATGACTGGAAATGACTTGACTCCTTCCACACTGTGATCCAGAAAGCACTACCTCATTTTACCAATGGGGAAAACCAGACTCATAGACGTGAAATAATTTGCCTAAGACAGTGGTAAAGAAAGGCTTTCACTTAGGACTAACTGCAAAACTGTACTCTTAGGCACTATGCTTCTTTGCCTCCCTCGGGTAGAATGAGCCTAAATACCTGGGACTCCATCAAGGTTGCCAGAGGTGGCAATAATGGTAGTCAAAGGCAGAAATTCATGGAAACCCCTCATCCTGTACCACTATTGTCCCTAACACCCCCACATATGCACACACATCCACCCAATCCAGATTCAAGGCTGAGGCTTCCCATTGTGCTCAATATCCCTGGTGTCCATCATGATGTATGGCTCAGAGTGTTCAATCAGTGTTTGCACTTGAACAAGTGATCTATTTCCAGAGCTCTGGGAGAGCAGGGCT